CATTATGGGAACAAGCTTTTAAAAAAAAAAATCTCGCATTGAATCCTACACTTGAATCCATGGAGAAACCCTGTTAGAGCTCACTACTGTGGGTTTCTCTCCTTTTCCTCCTCCCCTCCTTCCTTCCTGTTCTTTCTTTGTGTTAAATGGAATCCCCAGATTCTTTACTCCAATATGTTTCTCTCCCACCCGTCTTTCTCAAGTCTGTACCTCTCCCTTCATCTCCTGGTGGCTTTTCCGCATTTCACAGCAGATTCAAGGTGCTGAGGTGGGCAGTGTGGGAGTGGGGGTGGGAGGCTAGGAGCACCATGGTTTAGAAGCTAATATATTTCAGAGCCTCTGGAATCCTCCTTGGCCTCACAGGCTCTAAATTGTTTCAATCCCTATTTCCTTTGTCTCTGATGACTTTTAGAGTTTCCCATCCGATAACCACATTTATATCCACAGCATGGATTTACAGAGTTTGACTAAGCTGATCCCATGGATTCAATTTCCATAAATCCCTTAAAGTGTTTAACTAACTTTTCTCATTTTGCAAAAAATGTCTCTGACAAAAACACAGGGGAAAACAATTGTTCTTGACATCACAACAGTTTAATATGTTAACTTATCCATTAAATTGTGCTTCACATCAATGGAAATCCTCAGTTCTACAAACTATCATTTTTAAATAGCAATAAAGGTTGATAATGTCACAATACAATCTCCTAGTAACTGAGTTCATACATATTATTGCACAGAAACAAAAGGAAATATCTCTTAGGAGAAATAATTTACTAGCTATTGAATAACTATCTTTACATCTAAAATGGGGCACCAGATAAAGATCCAGATTTTTCTAACATTGAGTTGATACATGAAAGAAAAATAGTTATGCAAGCAAAATCCAGAAAGTACTCTGGGGGAAAGAAAAAGGGGAGGAAAAGAAAAGATGGCCACATGATTAAAAAAACACAAGGCCAGGAGATGGAAGGCTGGGTGACAATGACTAAGTCACACGAGACTCTGCTCTGCAGAACAGGGTTTCCCCAGCAAGGGCTGAGGCTTTCCAGCAGGGCATCTGGCCCTTTGATGAGTGGCCAGAGTGCAGCAGAACACGGAACCCACAGAGGTCCCACTCAGCGTGCTGAAGCATGGCAGTGACAGTGGTTTCCATAGACAATTTGGAACACGGCCTTGAGAAACATCTGTGTGTCCATGTTCCCAGATCTGGCATCCTGTCAGGTTACCTTGAGTCCTTGCCTGGACGTTGAGGGGCTTTTTTCTTGCAGACGTTGCTGGTGTTCACAGCTAGGCCAGTCCTCTGGAAATCTCTGTCAACGTACTGTGGAGATGCACGTGGCCACCAAACACACAGGTCTCAGCATCCCCCGCTGGCCCAGAAGGGCTAACTCAAAGCATCGGGGAATGAGTTCAGATGTGTGCAGGAGAACTCGGAGAGAGACGTAGGCATGGGCTCGTGTTCAGCAGAGATGGAGGAGCAGGACGACAAGCAATGCCCACAGCGCCTGGGAGGAGACCAGTGCAGTCCCCCCTGGATGGCACTGGGTCCCAGCTTGGAAGCTTTCAGAGGAGAGCAGCAGAGGCACCATGACTGGCAAAGGAAAGCCCTAGAGTGACAGTGGTGACCGACCAGGGTTTTCCTACCCACATCCAACCTGGCCTTCTCCTTGATTCCACTCCCCAACCCAACCAGCCTTCAGGCTCTAAAGGCAGCAGGTGTTCTGGTCCAGTCTCAAGAGCCCTTCTCTTTCCTGTTCTTTGCCGTGGCTGAAGGAATTGTGGTCCACATGCTACCTCAGCTTGCCCCTGTTCTATATCTTAGAAATAGGAAACTGTCATTTTTCTGTTTTTCAGGATTGCCTGGCACATATTTTATTCATTATCTCTCCATCTTTGAAGGATCTGCCTCCTTTGATAGCCCCATTTCTTCTATATTACCCTGCTCCCTTGGTTCCTCTCCCCCACACGTCCTCATCACAGGGACTCTCGTCTCAGCCACAAGTTGTGTCTGGAGGAATTAAAAAAAAAAAAAAATCTTTGAAGATGGTAGCTTGCTGCAGCCTAAAGCATTTCCTCTCTCTAGCGAATGTGCCAAGGAACTCATTTAACACCAGGAAACCCTCTAAGAACTAGCGCAATATTCTGCTGATAAAATTTCAGGGAGCTGGGGAAGGAGAAGTGGAGCAGGGCTTGTATTGATCACCCTTAAGCTTCACTAACAGGCGCTACTGAGTCTGCATACGTCTAATACTGAGCTTCCCGGAGGAGTGGAGCACATCCTCTCCACCTTCATCGTGAGTAGTTCTGAGGTTGAGGAGGGCAGACATCCAGCCAGAGGTGTCTGCACGCCTCCCCCGGGGTCAAGGGCTTCCTCAATACTGCTCATCTCTGGGGCATTTCACCCTCACAGAGGCCCCTGCACTGGAGGCAGAGTGGAGAGTCAACTCGACCTTGGCAGTTTCTAGGTCATTGCAGTTCCACAATGAGGTGAGGGAAGATATAAATCAATAAAGACTTAGATTTCATATTCTTGCAATTCCCAATCCCAAAACGGATGCTGAGCAGCATACAGTAGTGGGAAAGGCTATGAAGTCGGAAGACTGCGGCTCTGAGCAACTTGCTAATGAATTAGAGTCTCTGGGAAATCTCTCAATGTCTCTAAATCTTCATTCCAAACTCTCAAATAGGATAATGAATAGAACTCCCCTTTAGCACACAAGAACGCAATGAAGGCCAGATGAGATATTAGATGTAAAAATGTTTTGAAAAGCATTAAATGCTATACAAAGTGATGAATTTTAATCTCATCCCTTGCAAAACATATGATGAAATAAATGACATTGAAAAGCACTTGAAGTATTTTTCAATTCCCTATTGTGTCAGAGACTAATAGTTTTTTTATCAGTATTAATTTTCACATTGTTTCTTTCATAATGGAACCCCCGCACTTATCAAGGTACCTGGCAATGAAGAGTAAAGACATTTTCTCTGCAGTTGGATGTGGCTAATGTCTAAGTCCTAGCCCATAAGATGTGACTGGAAGTGATATGAGCAACTTCTCTTCATTTCCCCTCTAGCATCATAAATGAAAATAAGATAGCAGGAGCTGCAGCAGCCATCTTGGACCATGGGGTGGGTGCCACACATGAAAATGTAAAAGCAGTAAGAGAGGACCTGGGTTTCTGAGAATGTCACACACCAGAGCTATCAAACCCATTTGTCTTAAGTGAGAGGAAAATAGCATCAATCTTATTTATTATTTGAATGTCTGGGTTAAAACCGTCAAATGGGATTCCTGCCTACTATGCTTAATCTTAATGCTTTGATGCTCTTGTCTCAGCTCCTTAGTAAGTCTATCTGGTAGACTTTCTTCCCCAAATTAGCACTATCTCTACTCAGACTTTTTTAAAAAAAATTTTTTTTAGTTGTCAATGAACCTTTATTTTATTTATTTATATGCTGTGCTGAGAATCGAACCCAGGGCCTCATACAGGTTAGGCAAGTGCTCCACCACTGAGCCATAACCCCAGGCCGTCCACTCACACTTTAAATACTTCAAACCTTTGGTCAAACTATGGTGAAGTTACTCTGTTAGATGAAAATGAGCATACCCATGATTTCCTTAACTGTTGTCTAACATCGTTTGTTAAGATCATGATTATTTCTCCAGTTACCAAGAGCAGGCTGCCAAAAAGCCAGAAGGAGACAAAATAAGTGTGTATCTTGGTTCTTAATAAAATGTCTCCCCCTTTCCCCACACAGAGAACCTCGTATCAACGTGGTCACTGAGGCTTCCATTGCCAAGAGAAGGGAAGGGGTGTCCACCTGGGGACTACAGGGGTTGACAGGACGTGGAGCTCCCCGTGTGTGTGTGTGTGTGTGTGTGTGTATGTGTGTTCTGGAGCTTTGCACATTAATGCCCTGGAGCTGATTTGGGCTGGGACCTTGAGGTCACTGACTGCCCATGGATCCTTGAGCCCAGGTGCCTTCCTCGGGCATCCCGTCCCTGAGAGTCACTCCGCATGTAGGTGTGCAGCCAATTTTCAGAGAACACACTACTTCCCTAGCTCTCCATTTCCATCAACACAGGACCCCCAGGACGTGACAAGTGCGCTACTTTACAATGAAATGATATGAGGAGGAGGCCAACACACAGAGATGGCTTCTCCTCTGAACATCCTGCTATCTGGTCTCAAGCGGAGCCCCATACATCAAGCCTTCAGCAGAAAGGCAATGGAAAGCCTTTTGATAGAAATCCCAGGTGCCTCGGGAACAGTGTGAAGTGAGCAGGGGCTGCCTCCGCCTCTCAGCGCGGCACGGGTTCCCTGCCAAAAAGTAAAGTGGGTTTAGAAGAAACAATCCAAATGCTTTCCAGCTTGTTTTGATTTTCCACGTAACAAAACACTGGATTGTCGGTGTGTGTGTGTGTGTGTGTGTGTGTGTGTGTGTGTGTGTATTTCTATTCTGGGCAAGACATGAGACTGTAATACCCAAATGTAAAGATGGAGACACAGCCCCTCATTAGTCCCTGCAGCAATGTCCCTCCCCTCCCTACTTTAGGAACACATGATTGGAAAGGGGAGACACAGATATTTGGTTGGCATTTTTCTACCAACTGACAAATCCTATTTTCTTGGCCCCTTTTAACTCACTCTTATATATGGCTCACAAAGTGCAGCTGCCCAAGAAGTCATTGATCTCAGCTCATTGCTGAATCAGTGATGTGGAAGGGACTTACCCAAAAGCAGCACGGCTCTGGGTCACTGCTAGCTTGGTGCTATCACAGTTGTGCCACCTATGTGGGTCAGGGACAAATATTTCAGGGCAATAACATCTGGCTTCTTGCATGATTAACAGGAGGCTTTAGGAGACCTGAGCCTTATCCCATATGAAGAGCAGGATGGAATAAGTAAAGTGTTTGCACTTTGCAGTCAGCTAGGTCTACCTTACAATCCATGGGGAAGCCACCTATGGTCTCTGGGCTTCACCTTCCTCATCTGGGAAACTGGAACCAAGACTATCTACCTTGTTAAAGGAGAGAATCCTTAAAGTATAGAAAGGGTCTCCCTTGGTTCATAGCACAAGGGAGCCTGTCCTCAGCTAAGTCAAGGGCAGTGAGAGAAGCATGGGAGCCACTTCTCCAGATCTGTATTTGATGGGGACATGGGGTTGTCCTCTGTGCAGCACCTCTCCATGAATGCTGGTGGGTTGACGGACTCTCCACCCCAGAGAACATTCTGTGGGGTGGCCCATGGAAAGCAGGCTTAAACATCAAACACGGTGGATGTTGATGAAACAGGCTTCTCCATCTGACTTAGGAGGTTCACTTGTCTTTCGACTCCTTGGAAGGACTGATCACATCAATGTGTGTGAAACTTTCTACCCGCTCTGAGCCTCCAGTTGGAGGAGAGAAAAACATTTTCTCTTCCTTCCTTCCTACTTCCCCCATTGGTCAGTGCACTTTTGGTTACTGCACTTGTGACTGGGAAAAGGTGAAAATAAGCTCTTGGCAATACAGTGGGTTTTGGTTAAGTGTATACCCTCCAACTTGATTTGCTGGGTGTAGCGCAATCTAAGAGCAGGTGCACACAACATGGGAAGGAACTTTAGGCTACAAAGATTGGGGATGTTGGAATGTAGTGTCTGTATCTATGTCTGGAATGACCATCTGGTGAGTGATGTTCATGTCTCCTGGCCCAAATCAGAGTTATTATTCATGTAGTGACCTCAAATATATTTTGTATACATACCAGCTAAGCTCCTATTCTTTAGGCCAAGTTCTTTTTAAATCTCTTTTCTTCTAGAACAGTAGAATTTCAAACCTGGTAGTACCTTGGCAAAGAAGAGGATTGTCCCCAAAGAGATTAAACTCTGAAATATTCTTTTAAAAACTAAGATTCTGTAGCTGGTTTGGAAATATTAAACATGTTATTTCTCCTGATTTTTTTTCTCCCTTAATTGATCATTCATTCCTCACATTGAAGATTACAACTGGTACAGTGTGATGTCCTCAGTAAATAAGTAGTTCCCCTAAAACCCCACCAATGTTCATTTCTCAGCCACAGCCACCCCTGTCCTGTGTCCACTCCCTGTCTCCTAAGGGTGAGGAGGAAGCATGGCATAGAGCCGGGATGCCAGGGTTGGTGGGATGCGGGTCTCTAGAGATGGTCAGTGATTTTGTTGAAAAACAACTGCAGCAACAAAACACATTACTTAGGATGGAAGCTGCATTCAAACAGAGTTCAAAGACGAGAACCAGCAGTCAGGTGAGGGTCGGCGTGCAACCTCATCTAAGGGCAGAAGCCTCCTTCCCTTTCTCTCTCTTTAAAAGACTAATATTTCCATGACAGAGACAGTATGAAACAAACCAGGTTCAGCAGAACATCCAAGCCATAACTTGGCTTTTCATGTGCATCTCTGTGGGTCCAGCTCCCCAAAGGATCACCTGCAAGGCTGCACAGATCACAGACCCTTTCCTTCGGCCACTGCTTCTCCTTGACCTTCAAATGTTTTCTATGTAGGATGCATTCCTACCCTACTTCAAGTCACTGATTGAAAATGTCAAGAAAAAAAAACGAACAAGGCAGATAACCTCCAGCTGGATAAAAATGAAGACCAAGAGGAAGCAGATGTCCCAATACAGCCACCCGGAGCCAGCGGTCCTCTGGATGGCCCAATGTCTCCAACAGATGGTCAGTGCACCTGCTCACGCCCCCCTCCCGAAAGAGGAGTGGGCAGGGGGTCACCATCTCACCACCTGGCTGTTGTAGTCCTCAGTGACAGTCCCCTCTGCGGCTCCGTCCTCTTTTGGCCACCGGTGGGCCCGATGCTCGCGCTGCAGCCTCCTCTCCTCCCGCCGCTTTTGGCGGTCCCGCTGGTGCTCTAGCTGCTTGGTGTGGTGGTAGCGCTGCTGGAAGAGGTCTCTCGCGTACTCGTAGAGCTGCATGTCCAAGAAGTTGAGCTCCTCAATGCGCTGCCGGGCGCCCTCGTTGATCTCCACGTTGGAAGCCCGCGTGATGTTGAACTGCGTGAAGGGGGAGATGAACTTGAGGTTGAATGTCCTCTCAAAGAGAAACTGAGTCTTCCGCTGGAACTCGGTGAGCCCGAAGAAGGCCATGTTCTTCAGGTTGCTCTTGGCGCTCTGCAGCAGGATGGCGTTCCTCTCGCTCTCGTTCATGGAAGTCAAGTTGTAGCAGCCCACCAGGCTGAGGTCGGCCAGCATGCGCACCTGGCGGTTGTTGGCCAGGTTGTAGCTGCAGTCCATAAACTCCCGCAGGCTGACCCCAGACCAGTCGTCCCCAGGGTAGCAGGTGGGCAGCTCGTCGGGGGTGGGGCTCCTTCCATCACACATATGGAGAGAGGTTTTCCACGTGGCCCCCCTCTGGACGTGTTTCCATTCGCTCAGGTAACGCGACACGGGATCCCGCAACATTGTGATGTAATAGAAATTCCTGGAAGAAATTAGAGGAAGAGTGTCAGTAGCTGACAACTGAGGTCTATCTGTCACAGAAGATGTAGAAAGGACCACACGGAGGAGCAGCCTGAACACCAGGCCTCCAAGCTCTCTTCATGCTCTTAAACCCCATTTTGGCCTTTGTGCTTCCACAGAAGCCAGTCTGATCCTGGTTCCTCCACTCTAGTCCATGGCCCATTGAGTTGGGTCCACTGCAGAAATATGGGGTCAATCGTGTTAACCCAGAGATCCCCCAGAGGACAAGAGTGGTCCCCGAATGCCCTATGAAGAGCACCAGGCCTGCCCTGACCCTGTGCTTAGTGCTGCAGAGAATCTAGGAACCAAGGTTGGTGCTGGATCAGACAAGGCTGGTGCTGGTTCCTGGCAAGTGGTTACATTGTGCAATGTCCTGAGCAGAAAGCATTACTGTGCAGCCGCAGCCTCAGCCTGGTGCCAGAGGGCCAGACCAGGCCAGGCCATTGGTGCCTGACTCATCCTAGCAAGTGTTCTTTGTAGAAACTTGACAGGAAACACACACACACACACACACACACACACACACACACACACACACATATTTTGACAGAGAATCTGCCAAAGAATGACTTTGGATTGACCTTGAATCCTGTGCTATTTTGTCAAATATCTCTGTTATCAACCAATTAAGGGTATTATTTGCCCAAATCATTCCTATGTGCACTCATTGATAAAGGGTGGGCCTGGCTACAGTCAAATCAAAGGCTATCTTAAGGTGCTTGAGAAACTAAAAGAACAACGGGAGGGCTAGGAAGTCACTTTGTCCCTCTGTTCTCACAGCTCATCTCCACACTGGATGCAGTCAGACCCAGGGGTCAGGACAGCTCCATGCTGGAGAGGACTACCCTGCACACTCTCCAGAAATCACCTCTGTCGGGGAAGAGTTATCGTGGCTTTCAGTGGGATGGTGAAGAGGGAGGAGAAAAAGGAAAACCAGGCCACATTTTCAGGGCACATGTAGCTCACTGGAGAATCTAAAAACAGTGGAAAAGAAGAATTTCTTAATTCCAAAGAAGAGAACCAAGAGGTGCTTAATAAGCACATGAAGAAAGAACACGGCGTTGAAGATTACATTTAATTTAAAGGGGATGTTTTGCTCAAGTCGTCTAACAGATCACTCCTGGACCCCTTACAAAAACTGCTTTGCAGCAGGTGGAGGCAAACATTTTCTAATTTTGTCTTAAATCGCAAAGATGACCTTTTTCCTAGATTAAACTCACTGACATGCTTCAATGCCAAATGCTTTCCCCATAGATGAGCACCCAAGATCCATGATGGGGTAAACTTGCTGAATGCCAGGTACCATTCCAAGACCACGGCAATGCTCTGGGGTGGGGCTTTGTTTTCACTTAGTATTGAATAAACTCAGAACTTGAAGAGATGAAAAAGCTTCCCAAGATGACATTGCCAGTAAGTTACAGAATCTGGACTTAATTAGGTCTGGTTCCCTTCAAAACAACTTTTTTTTTGGTGTTGGGGGGGGGGATCACAACATCATGAAAAGGCAAACCTCTCATTTTATAGGAAATCTTCACCCTGGTGCTTATTCTACTAAACAGAATGGGGGGAAAAATCCCAGCAAAAGTAATGGAAAAATAAGTTTAAGGGCAAAAATCTTTAAAATTCTGTTTTTTAAAGGAATTAATAAACTACATTTTTGAAAGTTATGCATTTTTCTTTATTCTATTGTTGTGAATGGATAGCCTCATTCCAATAGGAAAGCCAGATAGTTCTGAAATGTGCTAAAGAAACCTCAATATCTTAAGTCACACTAGCGGCCCACTAACTGAGGAGGAGGAAGGCATTGAACCTGCCAAGTATGGGCCAACCATTGCCCTCGCCGTGGCCAATCACCATCCCACAGCACTCTGTTCTCTTTCTGGGTGAAGGAATGATGACTCTATCCGTGGAAGAAAATGTCCTAGCAGGTCAGTAGGGAGAGCAGGGAACGCCTGACACAGCCTCTGGGTTCCATGAGGGAATGGTGACGGTGAAGTTTGGCTCGGAGTGGATATGACAACTTCTGAACACTAGATGACATTCACCCCAGACCCCGCTGTAGTCCTGTGTTGGGACACCTCCTATTTCAGTTCTACCAGCAGAAACTGGTTTTCATTTCACACAACAATTTGCATAATAAATATAGAAGTACAGTCATGATGAGTCCATAAGTCAGTGTGTTAAGGGTGCCAAACACCTCAGGGCAGAAGAACTTAAATTGGAAAGATTGCTGAATCAGGTCAAATTAGACTACAAATGAAAAATTTCCAGCTTTACTGTTAAAATACAAAACACCCCAAACAATGTAAACAGCACCAGTAAAAAATCCAGGGACAATCAAGGAATATGTCTCCATCTTATTGATGGTCTCAAATTTAATATGATCCAGGTTTTTAAAGAACCATTGGAGTTGGAGGCTTTTGGAGATGTGAGTTACAAAGGGTGGTGGCGTGAAGATTTAACTGAATTCTGCTGGGATATGACGCAGCTCTGGTCTCACTGGGAAAGCTGGCCCTAGTGCTTCCAGAAGCTTTGTTGCATTAGAGATCCCACTGAAAGCCACGATAACTCTTCCCCAACAGAGGTGATTTCTGGAGAGTGTGCAGGGTAGTCCTCTCCAGCATGGAAGCTGTCCTGACCCCTGGGTCCAACTGCATTCAGTGTGGAGATGAGCTGTGAGAACAGAGGGGACAGAGTGACTTCCTAGCCCTCCCACTGTTCCTTTAGTTTCTCATGCACCTGTAAGATAGCCTTTGATTTAACTGTAGTCAGATGCACCCTTTATCGATGAGTGCACATAGGAATGATTTGGACAAATAATACCCATAACTGGTTGATAACAGAGATATTTGACAAAATAGCGCATGATCTTAGAGCTGAATGAAGTTGGTTTAGGATTGAAATGGTCTTGGATTCAAGTTAAACTTTATTCCATTTAATATTGCCTTCAACCATGCTTAATGAAATCACAGGGTGATGTTTATTAATAAAATAAATCCACAATGTCTCTGAGTTTTATCAGCCCAAGAAATCAACTTGGAAGTAAAGCTAAATCTGTCACGGAGACATAGAAGTGTACTAGGGGAACATTTATACTGATAAGTATGGAGTTGTCCCATCTCAGGGCCCTGTATCGAGTGGCTAGGAGCGTTTGAGAATTGTTTAGTTAAACAGTTTGTTACTTGTGTTTTGTTCTTCCATCCTGCAAAGTAATAAGGATGCAAAATGAGAAAAGTATAAAAATAAACCAAAAGGTTTGAAAGACATGGAAATAATGAAAAAGACAATTGAAAATTTGACTAAATTACTCATCTCACTTTTTTCCTCTATTTTGATTTGCTTCTTTGCCTTCAGATAGAAAACAACAAAAACAATCAATGACATGATGGGTATCCTTTGACCTTCACTGGTGACAAGAAATGCTTCCCTTCCACGAATCCCCTCCTGCTGTAACTGGGATCTGATATGTCCCCACAGACCCATATGTATAGGCTTGGCCTCAGCTGGAGCCTACTGGAAGGTGGTAGGAGCTTCAAGAAATGAGGCCGAAGGGCAGGAAGACAGGTTACTGGGGACATGCTCTTTGAAGCTCTCCAGCTTGTACTTCCTGGCCACCACCAGGTAAGCAGCTTTGCTCCCCCGCACATTCCACACCAGGATGTGCTACCTTACCATGAAGGAGCCCAGAAGGAATTGGGCTAAGTGATCGTGGACTTCAACCTCTGAAACTGTGAGCCTAAATAAACCTTCTTCCTTACAAGTTGATTGTCTCAGGTATTTTGTCACAGGGACAGAAGGCCGCCGATTCATAAAACATCCCACTCCAGAACAACAGAAATTCTTTCTTCTGCTCCCACAATTACCAATTCAGTTTCTTTTGGAAGTATTTAAAGGATTCTATACCATTGAATTCTGGAACTAGTGTTTTAGGCCTCACTTGTTCAACAGTACAATGGAAGGGAAAAATCAGTTTTAAAATGATAAAACAAAGAACAGAGAGGAAGGAAAGCAAGACCCAAGGGTATTGGTGGCCAAAACTAACTAAATAAATAAAATAAAGAATAACCTTCATTGACTCCTTTAGTTTTAACTCAATCTCCCAATCCGACATAGGGTATCACTTACTCATACATTTATCATTTTAGTTAGTCTAAACTCTACCCAGGTATTAGAAACATAAATAAGTAAAGTATCATTACTCCCTTTAACTATCCATTCATTCATTTGTAACTCTGCAAACATTTGAGTCCCCTCTATTTACAAACACTGGGGCTAAACATGGGAGACATGGAAATTAATAAGACTTTGTCCCCCAAAAGATCTTAGGCATCCAATGATTTTGATAGAGTGAGAGATATGCAAACTACCAAGTTATTGGGCAGTTCTGACAATCTCCTTGGACCAGAGCAATCCCTGAGACATAACTTTGTTTGCCTTAGTGACAGTATTCTGTCCACAGAGCTTCCCTTTGCCATCTACTTCATTGAAAGCACAAAATGATTGGAGCTCTTTGGAATCATCCATCTGTGGCCATAGGATAATGATGGCAAATTCTTGAATACTCAGATAGATTAGAGAGTGAGGTACTTTTATTACTCAGTAATTATTTTAATTGATCATCACTATGAAGGCCGTCATGGCTTAGTAGAGTTCAAAGAAATGGAGCACACACTTTTCCAGAGGTTGAAGTCCATGATCACTTAGCCCTAAACCTAGTGGTTTAGGACCACTTTTGGCACCCTGCTCTGCTGGAAGGTAAGCATTGAAGAATTCTAAACACAACCAAGGGCATAACTCACTTTGTAAAGTCCTTGTCTCCTGTATTCCTGAGAACCCTGCTCATCTTTCCTGGACCAGCTCAGGGTGCATCTCCACCACCTCTGACTTTCCAGCTACAGACTTCCTGCACCACTTATCACACTTAGTCACATCCAAGATTTTAGGTTCCTTTGTGATAATTCT